TTATTATTATTATTATTATTATTATTATTATTATTATAATTATAATTATAATTATAATTATAATTATAATTATTATTATTATTATTATTATAATTATTATTATTCTAACTATTATTATTCTTTTTATTATTATTATTATTATTATTATTATTATTATTCGTGACGGAAGCGCTAGCAGCTAAGATAGCGAGAAAATAACTGTCGATTGCTATCACACGCAGTAAGCATGACAACTGGAAAGAAATCTGCAGAGATATAAACAAAAATCCTTTGCTATCAAATAGTCATAAAGAAGATGAGAAACTACGGAGCAGAGCCAAACGTGGATGATGAAACGATGGATCACATAGTGGAGCACCCGTAGAGTTTGATGGTCCCTAATTTCACCGACAAAGAACTCAATATTGCAGCTCTCTCCCTGATGAATAAAAAAGCGCCAAGGCCAAATAATATACGTGCGAAGATATGAATAAAAAAGCGCCGGGGCCAAATAATATACGTGCGGGGATACTGAAGGTGTTGATCATCAGGACGGCCTACTTTTCTACTTAGCATGTATAACGCATGTATAAAAGAGGATATTCCCAGAAGCGTGGAGAGTACGGAGACTGGTGCTCATTAGCAAAGGCAAAGCGGATCCCAACTCACCTTCGGTTTATCACCCATAGTGTACACACAACTGGAAAGCTGTTAGAAAAGTTCTTAAGACCTAGACTACTCGCCGCAGTAGAGACCGCTAGAGAACGTAGCCCCAGGCAACACGGGCTCAGACCTGGAAAATCCAAAATGGGAGCTATTGATGAAGAGGTTCAGGCAGCCAGAGCTACGTAAAGAGAAAATGCATACTACCGCCTAGTTGTTTTGCTAGCAACGCTGGACGTTAAAAACGCCTTTAATAGTGTCAGGTGGACCGATATGCTCGGCTCCTTGGAGCACCGCTTCCATATACCGGAGTACCTTATGAGTATGATCAGGAGCTATTTGCAGGATCGAATACTCCTAATCCAAGACTGGAAATGCCTGAAGATACCTTCCTGATTGGATATGCCGACGATATCGCAGCCGTCATTACTGCCAGAAGCACCATAGAGACCCAAAACAGACTTACCCAAGTCATGATCCGCACGCATATATGGCTTAGCTCACGAGGGGAGGAACTTTCCACCCATAAAACAGAGTTACTTCTGCTCACGGGGAAGCAGATCCCAACCGAGAGAAGCGACTAAGCGAAAACCTGATAGGGACTCAGAGGACAGTGAACTATCTAGGCGTTAGACTAGACAGTAAACTCACCTTCTGGGAACAGCTGAAGCATGCCACGCGAAAAACAGCAATAGCAACGGGGTCTTTGAGTAGACTGATGGCAAACGTTGACGGCCCGACGGCAGGAAAACGAAGACTCCTTATGGAAGCGACAAACGCAATACCTAACATGGTAGTGAAGTATAGGCTAACACCTTAAAGGCGAATGTAAGGTGAAAACCGATGTTAATTGTGCAACGAAGAGCAGCCTTAAGGATGCCGATAATATTCCAAGTTGTGTAATTAAAGAGTGCAGTGTTTCTCTTCAGTTTAAATTATTTAATTTGTCTTTGGAAACTTCTTGTGTTCCCTTCAATTCGGAAAGAATCTTTCTAATATTTCTAATTACAGAGGCATTGCAAAATTATCTGCTATTCTGAAGGTTTTTGAAAAAAAATTTTAATATCGGCCTTGCAACAATTTTGCAAATCAATTATTCAACCTACGCCATTAGACTATCCATTTTTTTTTTTTTTTTTTTTTTTTTTTTATGAGCTTTCAAATTTTAAATGTAAACTTACTCTTATTGCTCAGTTGTATGGTCTCCGCAGCATAAACTGTATCAGGATCGTATCGAACCGGTTGAAAAACAGTTTCTTATTTTTGCCTTAAGGGATCTTAGCTGAGACAGTAATGTACGATTACAGTCTTACCATAGTAGGCTTCAGCTCATTGATCTTCCATCGTTAATCAATAACAAAACAATTGTAGGAATTGTTTTTCTGCACAAATTGATTAGCGGTGATTTTGATTCGTCCTCTTTGTTGATCCGTCCTGATTTTTCGGTTCCGCCCCGAACAATTAGACGTTATCGTCCGCTTCATTTACCTGTGTGCACTATGGATTATCACGTATTTTCCTTAGAGCTCTCTCTTCCTAAAATAAAATCTCTTCTATTAGCTTACCTTAGGGAAACCACTCGCAATCCCCAGGCCAACGTTGTGTAGTGATTTCTCAATCCTATCCTATATTCCTCTTAAAATTTATTATATTTTTAATTATATTGGCTATATTTAAGCTCTTTTAATATCTTATTTTAAGTTTTCCATTTCAACACTGTATTTTCATAGTTCAATAGTATCACTGACCACATTTGGCTGTGAAGTGGGGCATAGCTGGCCGGACTGGCAAATAAAATACCCCTATCGGGTTGGTGATACTATTATTATAATGTGTTGTACTTTTTTAGTTGACTCTAGTTTTGTCAATATCTTTTAAATAAATCACAAATTATAACATCGGCGTACCGCAGTCTCTGGGGCTGCCGTGACTGTGATAGCAACAGTCATACTGGTTGACTTGCTTGCCTAACAGCGCCAAAAAAAAATATGGAATCTTCGGCAAAGAGGAGAATTCTCAGAACAGACGGCCAGGAGCATACGACATCAAATCATAGTCTCGTAGAAGGCGAGATGGGCATGCCAAAGGTATGGAAGATGGACCGCTAGAATAATCCCCGATCTAGAGAAGTAGATAAATAGAAAACACTTTCGAAAGTACCTAAATAAGATGGGAAAAACTGCCGAAATGCATTGCACGATGCAGAACACACTTTCTTCAACTGCAAAAGATGGTCGGAAGAATCGACCTGGCATAAACAGTCGGTGAAGTCCAAGTAGAGACATTAGTTCAGCGAATATGCAGCAGCATAGGGGCTTGGAAAAAAGTCTATAATTTCGCCAAAAAGATTCTGGGGAAGAAGTATAACCTGGACGCAGACACACAGAGGGCAACGCTCATTTAGAGCACACTATGGGGCACAACCTTGAAGGTTAATTAGGTATAACTCCTGGTTCCAAGGTGGATTCGAGCCTTAGAAGAGGATTTTTTAGTCGGCAAGCAGACATGCAGTCTGACACACCGGTCAGAGTAACGACCAGACTGACGGTGCATAAAGCATTTTTTTCCTACCTCAACCCAAAAAAATAATATATATATATTATTATAAATATTGGCAACAGCAACACTTGCCCGTTTAGCTAGCTAACTTTCAATAGAAAATATTGGGAGGATAAGTCTTAGCGGATGTATGACCTCCCCTAACAACCTATTATATTAACCTGACATGTAGATAATTATCGCTTTGCTACAATACATTGAGATGGGGCTAGAGTTTTATTTGTCATCCCTTAACATTGTTTTTTTATTGTGATGATAAGCCGTTCCGCCCTTAAAACCCAGGTTCCCCTTTTTTAAAAGAGGAAGCCACGGTACCATACAAATTATTTTCGTTCTTGAAAGTCTATAATTATCAAGAGGCGTGGTTTTATTAAATTTTCACATTTTGTGAATTCTTTGAGAATTCCATGGTAATACATTCTGGATTATGTAGAAAATCATTGCAGTCGGGCTGACACTTTGTTCGCAAATGGTTTCAAAGCCTTGAGCCCAACTATTAAAAATAGGAGAGCAGGCTAAAAAAGTTTTGTTGAAGGGTAAAAATCTATAACTATTCCCGGATATACATCTTTGAAACTAGATTCTCCAAATAGGTATAATAGGTAGCCATTTTTTTTTTTTTTATAAAAAGCCAAATATCGAAACAATTTTTGGTCTATTAGCTTACGACCTTTGTTAAGGCAGCGCGAAGAGTTTTTCTTATAGTGTCCCATCTAAGTCAGCGTACCCCCTATACATTTTCTATAAGAAAGTTTTCCGGTTGATAAAATGAAGTAGTATTACATTTTAATAATACATAGTAACATCTTATTTGTATATAATATACTATTAACAAACTAAAGAGAATCGTCCTTATTTTTTGTAGTTTGTTAATTATGTGGTACTTACAGAATTTTATTTTAGGTAAATAAACTACTGTCCTATTTTCAATGTACTTAGTCGATCAAAAAATATTCAATTTTAAATCATCTGAGAAAAGTCAACTTATTTATCCACATTCGGCTTAGCCAATTACAGACATTTCCTTCGAATCTTCATATGATTAGGTGGCACTAGTTATCTCGGTAAAGTGATAGAAAATGGCTAAATTCCACTATGCATTTGTGATTTAGCGTTATTTTTGACACGCCCCTCGTATCTTAATTAATTTTTGTAAGGTTGATCTAGGTTGATCTTATTTCTAGTTTCAAATAGGCTTCAAAAACCCAACTTATTGATTATTATCGATAGAAATTAATAGAATAAACATTTACAATTTCTAGTCTCAAGCTTTTGTGGCTTAAATTTCTGGTTTATAAGAACGAACAGACAGGCTTAGCTTTCCAACCAGATCAGCAATATATGCTGTATGGTCATCCACGACTCCTTCACAAAATCAGCTTGAACGCAATGATTTCTTGATTTTTTTTATTAATTAAGATGAACTATATTTACGCACAATAACCTATAGAAGATGTATGCATGGCAAAATTGAAAGCATTTACCTAATCGTCTACACGTCTTCTTTACCATTTACGTTTTTTAATCATGCAAGCACTACAAGCTGTCGGAATTTCGCACTGGACAATAATTTTATGCTTCTTATAAAGCAAATTGAATAACTAAAGATAACCGTATAAAATATGTGGACAATTTATAAACAACGCTTCTTATTCAAATTTTTTTGGTCTATGAAATGAAGGAGATATATGGCCCGTATGCGTGGTTGCCTATCTGTATTTAAGCCAATCTTGTCGCTTATGTATTTATATATGGATACAAATAGTTTTTAAAACTTTATAAATATAGGCCGAAAATTTTACAAGCCTAGCTCCTTTCGGAGATTTTCTGAGAGCTGTTTTCTGATAACATTGTTATGCTCAATGCATTTCATTTTCAATTTTATATAATAAGGTATAAATAATATGACATGTTTACAGTATTTCCCATATGGAGAAGGGAACTGTAAAACATAGAAATGTAATATGATGAAAATAAAACTTACCATAGTCACGGGCAGACCGCCTGGCGTACCATTAGCATACGAATACGGAGACACCAAATATCCCATATTAAAAGTCGGGGTATGCGGCTCAAGTTTATCTGGACAAAAACAATATAAAATTTTTGGTTTGATGATTTTGTGAAAAGACTGTAACAGGCATAAGGAATCATCCCATACCCCATAAAATATAGAATAATTGAATAATTAATTGCGCAGTCAGCAGAACGCGTGATTATTCGTGCATGCGTGTGTGCATAAAAGAAGTGCAGGATGAGTAGAATATCAGTTTAGATGGTTCAGAGTATCTCCTAGTCGAACACTTTTGATTAGAGGGCTCTTACTTACTTACTGGGAAATCAGAGTATAATGGTTTTGTTGAAATGTATGTAACAGTGTTGCCAACTTTTGTTGAGCAAAAAAAACTGTTTTTAGTGGGAAGATACTTAAAAATAAGCCGAAAAAATCGGACAAAAATGCTTATGCTTTCTGCTTTGATTTGATTGTTATTTAAAAATATTTTTAACAACTTGTAATTATGGCAGCATTTATTTAACCGCCGCAAGACGTATCTGTGAAGTTTTATAATATATTTGTTTTACCTAACGCTTGAACTTGAGTTAAGCATCACAGTATTGATCTGACTGGCCAAGTGCCTAAATATCTTATTTCCTCCCGAATCTTTAGAAACACGCCTCTGAGCCCAAAAAGTTGTAGCGTCTTGAGTATTTTCCCACTGAATTATGTGAATATTCTTGCGTTCACGACTCATTTACATAGAATTAAAAAGTTCAAGATTATTGTTAAAAACAAGTTTTTCTGAATTATATGTATTACCGCTGGGTTCGCTCATTGAAAATTAAACTACTGAACTATTTGAACAACATAAGAATTATCCCTACAAAATATAAAAATTAAATAACTAGCTTTCGATAAAGTTTTTAATCGATAATAAAAAAGGCATGGACCTAGGAAAAACAAGTAAGAACGTTGCATTCGGGCGTTACCAACTGCAGAATACTCATTCACACCCCATCAGCAATTCACTAACCAAGTTTAGCTCTATTACTGTAGAAAGTTCAGGTTTTCTCGATTTGCCACTGGGCGTAAACACTTCATTTTTGGTCAGCTTATAGAACAAGCTAACGGAAACCTAGCTGCAAAATTAGAATGCTTACGCTCAAAATATTAGAAAAATTACAGGGTATTTTGATATGCCACGCCCCTGAGGCGTAAGAATATTATTTGAGGAATCGTTAGAGGAGGTTACTGGTAACTATCCAAATTTGAAGCTTCTAGCTCTTATACTTTAGGAGATATAAACTTTTGCGATTTGCCACGCCCCCTTTGGGCAGAGATAGATCCATCATAGCTCGGTGGACTTGGGAGGTCAACCTGCGTATATATACAAAACTTCAGGTCTCTTGTATCAATAGTACCTTAAATATAGCAGAATTTGAAAAATCACTATATCTACAGGTCCGATTTTCCACGCCCCTAGTAGGCGTAGATATGTAATTTTTGGGCGGAGATATATCCGCCATAGTGATCTTGGGTGGTCGACAGATCCGCTTACCCAATTTCAGCTTTCTAGCTCTTCAACTAACATGATTTCTGGCATATCGGAAAATGC